GACAATCATTTTTAACACTTGGGTATGTTTCCTTCTGTCTTTATATGCGCCTGTGGTTCAATGCCCAGTTACTGTTAGGATCCTGTGACATATACAGTTCATATGCTGCATTCTGTCCTTAGCAGTCACATTCTACAAGCATTTGCCTTATGTGTACCAGCTCCTGTGCTGGTCCTGAGGATACACTGGTGAGCGACAACAAACCATTCCTATTTCCATGATCCTTCTTTCACTATTTTCTATTGTGCACTCATGTAAACACACACACACACTCTGGAATATAAGGAAGGACTGTGTTTTGACCACTGTTAGATCCAGTCACATAGTAGGAAATCCATAAATATTTGCTATAATGTATTGAGAGTGGCAGACAGTAACCAAATTATAATACTAGTCTGTTATAACCCAAGAGAGGCGCTCTGGAGGGAAGGAACATGATTCTCTGAGAGCATTTAACAAAGGCTGGTGGAAGGGAAGACTTTTGTGCTCATGAGACAGGCCAAACTCTGCCACCTTGGGCCTAGCACTGGCTGTCCTTTGTTCTGGGAACATTCTCTCTCTTTCTCTTGCATAATTGGCTCCTTATCCGTCAAACTGAGTTGTGATGTTACCTCCTCAGGGACTTTCTCTGACCAAATAGTCTCAGGGAGACACACACATTCAAATCCCCCCAAACTTGTAGTCACTCTTCCAAAACTACCTTTTCTGCCCTCTCTCCACTGGAATGCAGAGATCATGTGTCTTATCACACGTGTGGTTCCAAATGCCCAATGTTTTTACCTTAACATCAACACTTGTATTAACTATTAAGTGCCAGAAAATTAAGTATAATATTTAGCTGGGGCTTAGAGCCAGGATAAAATTCCTCCTGCCTCTAGGGGCGGGGGAGGGGGTGGGGGGGTGGAGTTCTTTAAAGAGCCATGCTTAGAATGGGCTTCATTTTGTTTTTGTTTATCCTCACCAAAGGACATTTTCCCATTTTTTTGTTCAGACAGAGTGGGAGGGAGAGAGAGGAAGAGAGAGAGAGAGAGAAACATCGACATGAAAGGGACACATCGAGTGGCTGCTACCCGCAAGACCAACCAGGGCCAGGGACAAACTGCAGCTGAGGTACGTGCCCTTAGCGGGAACCGAACCCAGCTCTCTCTGGACCGCAGGCTGACGATCTAAACGCTGAGCCAAACAGGCCAGGGCATAGAATGGGCTTCTTATAGTGCCTGCAAAGCTTAGGCAGGGACAGCTGAGGGTCGGAGAGGCTGTGTCTTCTCCTGTTTATATAGCGTCTGCAGGGCTCACATAACTCCAGTCTTCTTGTTACTGATCATTAAAAAGTTCATTTATGGGGGAGGGGGAGAGGAAGGACAGTGGTGGTAAGAAGAAACTATTGTATAAAAGAAAACTAAAGCATTTAAAAAATATAAAGATTAGGCTTAACACTAGAAGTTGAAGAAAACTATAAACACCATTTGGAATAGAGGAAAATAAATAAATAAACTAAGTAGGGGGCAACATGAAAGGTAACAAAACTAGAAATAAAGAGGAGGAAAAACAAAGAGAAGTTAGAAGAAGAAAGGTAAAATAAGGATACAAAATAGTCGTGGGGATGTAAAGTATAGCATAGGGGATTTAGGCAATAATACTGTATTAACTATGTATGGTGCCAGGTGGGTACTGGACTTATTGGGGGGATCACTTAGTAAATTATGTAAATGTCTAACCACTATGCTGTACACCTAAAACTAATAATGAATGTCAAATATCATTGAAAAAAATAAAATGGGCTCTATGTTCTGAAAAATTAAACAAGAATAAAACTGTAGGTCATTAGAGAAAATATAAAGAAAGTAAAATCCCCAGAAGAGGGGGTGGTGGGGAAGAAATAAACCACAGAACTTATATGCATGTACGCATGAACAATGGACATGGACAACAAAGCTGGGGACAGGGTGGGAAGGGGGGAGGGGGATTCGGTGGGGAGGGGGATTCAGTGGGGTGGGGGGAAACATCTGTAACAAAAATAAATTAATTAATTTTAAAAATAAACAGTCTTTGAATCTAATCTAGCACCTGTAACTAGGTTACCAAACATGAACCATAGCTTTCCCCCATCTTTTAAATTTTCTAACAAGAGAAAAACTTATTTCCAAGCCTCAAAGTAAATGGGAAAGTTTTGTTTTTCAGCTTTATTAAGATATAATTGACATATAGCACTATGTACAGATGGCTGTAGAGAACGATAAATATGAAGGTGGGCAAAAGCAGGTTTACAGCTGTGAGTACATGAAACAGAGTTTATGTTGCATTATTTATTAATTATTGTATTGTTTTCCATACAAAAAACAGTGAACCTACTTTTGCCCACCCCTGTAGATTTGTTTTCACAAATATGTGCCAACACTGAGCCAGAGAACATTTCTGTTATATCACTCTTTTACTATTATAATATGTAACAGTAAACCCTTGATATTGTGGACCTCGAATTAACAGATTTCCCATTTAATGGACAAAATTTCTGATTCATATGTCATATGTGAAAATTAACACCCTGTTAATTTTAAGATTTTTTCAACCAAGATTTATTTATAATAAATTAACAAGGGTTTTTTGTTGTTGTTATTAATTCACTGTTATTTTTAACACATTTTAGCAAATAGGACATATATTGGGGGGAAACGCTGTAATGTTGCCAACATAAATAAATATTACATATCTTACAACTATAGTCTACATATTTAAATCCAAGAGTCACCACTCCAAAATCTTGTTGGAGGAATGAGCAGCATGTGATCACACCTTATCGGTAAGCCATGCCCCAACCATGTGGATTTGTTTACTCTCGGTGACTGGTGAATGCACATATTTACTAGACCTATTCAGTATAAATTTAAAATTACTGTGATACATATAGAAAGCTTTTCTGTAAATTGAACTTTCCATACATCCTCAATTTTAATTATACAAATGTGTCTACATAAGTAAAAATAAGTAAACTAGCTTATTTGTCAAATTTTTAACATACACATTTGGAAAATTTACTTTATTATATAACAGACTTTCTGCTTTAATGGACACCTCCTCACCCAAATTAGTCCATTATATTAAGGTTTTACTGTAATAATAATTTCCTCTCAATGAGTGTCCTATTCACTGTCTCCTTGATTATTCTTCCTTCCACTAAGTGTCATTATGGAGTGTCTGGATTTTATAATCTAATATACTAAGGTGGTTATTTTATACTTCACCTTCACACTTAGTGTCTTACTTGCTCTCCCAGAAACCAAACATTGTCTTGGTCTCAAAAGAAGAGGAAATTCCATAAGTTCTATGAACTCAGAAAGTCACATCTCAGATGCAGAATTGTTTAAATATATATAAAGTTTTATAATTCCAGAAGATGCATTTGGGGTTTATATGGAGAACTTCCATTTCCTCACCATTCTCTCATACCTGAACCTAATGTGATACAGGTTCCTTCCGCCATATTTTATGAGCAAAATAGATGTTGATGTATATGTTGGATTTATTTATTTTTCTTGATTCCAAATGTAACATAGGGTCAATATAGAAAACTGAAAAGCACAAAGAAAATAAAATATCCATAAGCCTATCAAATATTAGTTAATTGTGGAATATTACCAACTAATCTCTTTTATGTGTATCAATATACTAATTTTGTTTTAATAATAAGAATACCAAAAGGGATATATAGTGATTTGGAGTCTGCTTTTTCCACTTATGAATATGGCAGATTCTCACACTGATGTGTTTTTCTACACTGCTTGCTGCATGGAATTCCATCCCATAAAGTTACCTACAATTGATTCCTTAATACTTTTGCTAGACACTTAGGCTTTATATTTGTTTCAAAATCCTACATCTTTGCTCACAGCTCTGATGATTTCTCTGGGATAAACTCTAAATGGAACTGGTGCTTTGAAAGCTGTGTCCATTTTAAATCTTTTCACATATGGTACAATTAACTAAAACTTTGAGTGTACTGGCTCCATCAGAATGTTCACTCACATTGGTTGATATTTTCATTCTTTGCCAACTAATAAGAAAATGTCAATTCCTTTTGTCTGCTCTATAATGATCTTAACGTTACTCTTTTTCTAACTAGTCATACAGGTTTACTCACAACGCTACAAAAATCTTGCTCATTCCTAATTTTTTAGCATTGTTTGAGAGATTGTTTAACCAGCAAAGTTCTCCCTATCTATTTCACTTAATCAATCCCTAACCATCCTAACACTAATGACATCCATTGCTCCCAAGAATTTGCCATCTAGTACACCCTTGTCATTACCTTTTTCAAGCATGTGTATTTCGTCTTCAATAAAACGTTTAGTTCTGAAACGGCAAAGGCCCTATAGGTTGAGGCCCAGTATGCCTAATGACAGAGTTTAATAATTTACCTTCCCAGGGGTCCTCTCAGACAGAGTCATTTACATTGGGGTTGGGGTGCAGTGGCTAAACCATCTTGGTGATTTTGATATCTAGCAGGCTTTGATGGGATTCTGTAGCAGACATTCAACTACGATCTCAATTATTGCCCCTAATAATGCCTGATTAATGCCAAATGTGAGCAAGGTCCTGGCACTACTGACTATCTAGAGGCCCCAGGACAAAAGTGGAATCCAAGGGGCGCTGGACATCAGGTGACCCAGTGTCTAGGCTCTGTGTTTCTGTTTTCAGGTCGATGCGCTCTATTCTTTCATCGGGCGTGCCGGAAAAGACACAATGATGACTCCTCCGGTCCTTGTCTTCCTTCCCAGAGCTGCCCACAGATCCACGTGGGTTAGAACCCATCAAGGAACGAGCCGCATTTCCTCCAGCGCCCCGCCTTTCTACTCTCGGAATGGCCCCGCCCAGTCGTGGACGCCGCGAGGTCACGCCCACCTGCGGTTACTTTGTGAGTCTAGCGATTGTTGCGTCTGGTGTCCGCACTCGAAAAGGTAAATGCTCACTGTCACCCAGGTTTCCCTCTGATCTCCCAGAAAATGACGGCGTCTTGCGAGCCGCGCAGGGCACCTCCCCGCCGCCCCGAGAGTCCCTTTTCTTCTTGGTGCTTCGTGGGGATAATTTTGGTGGCCCTAGTGCTCCGTTTACCCACATCCTTAGGTAGGAGCCCGGAGAGGGTGTGCGCTCTGGAGGCGGACTGAAGCGGGTCGGGGAGCAGGCAGACCCGAGCCGAGGGTGGAATCTCTTGGGGGGTCGGGTTGGAGGCGCGGGGTCCGGTCGAGCCGGAGGTGCGGAGTTGGGGTAGAAGGGTTAGGCGCAGATCCTCAGGGTTGTGCTGTGGCGGATCCAGGACGGTGGGTCCTGTAGAGCCAGCGGTGAAGGTTGCCGGGGAGGGGGGGGGGGGGACTGAGCCTTGCGGGGCGCTGGGCACCGGGTGCTGCCGGGTTTTGCCGGGGGTGAAGGTCTGTGTCCAGCAAAAGCTTGCAGGTGTTCGTGGACTGAGTCAAGCAGGATGGGAAGCCTTCGCGTGCGCTGAAGGTGAGGGCTTGCTCTCGAGCGCCCAGGTGCCTGGGGATGTGGCTGGGGCCCGTGCTGTGCCCGTGGGGACTGTTTGCGCTGTTTCCTAGGTGTGGCGATGCCTAGGTAAGTGGAGAGTTTGTACCCGGCTCCGGCTGTGTTGGGCTGGGGGAGCCGAGGCCGGTGTTTCCAGGTGTGCGCTTGGTGGAAGTGTCCAGGCCAGCGGTGCAGGGCGTGGGGCAAGGAAGCCCACTGCTTGCTTCGTATGGGGGCTGGGGAGCGCGTGTTGTGCGCGGAGTCCTTGATTTCTGGGTCCTGGGATTTCGACACATTGGGAAGGGTGCGCAGTGCTTTTTGTGCATAAAGGTAACAGGCTCATTGCTGCCCCCAAATTTTATCGATATTGGTTTCCAGGCTGTTGATTTAAAAAAAAAAAAAAAAAAAACATGGAGTCACCTTCATATTTCTATCCAATATAGACAATATCCGATCGTTTCAGTTACCGAATGCCTTTGGGGCAATATTTTGTTTTGTTTTTCATTAGATTGGGTCCTATTTAGGGAAGATCCGAAGCGACCTAAAAAATATTGATTTTACTCATACACACAGACTCATAAAGAGAGAGTAGATAGCTGGGGTTGGGGGGAGAGGTGGGCGGCGGTGGAGGGATTGAGCCAAAAAGAAAAATAGAGAACTCAGGGACATAGACAACAGTGCGGTGACTGCGGCGGGTGGCGGGGGTTGGGTGAAGGTGGAAGAGGGTTTAGAGGGGATTAATGACGATGAAAAAATTAAATTAAATAAACAACATTGGTAGCTAAACCTAGTGAGAAAGAGAATCGTAAAAAATGAGCAATAAGTAATGGTAATATGGTCATAAACTAAAAGCTGAAGGCCATCCTCTAAGTTTGATCTGCGTTTCATTGAATGGAATGAGTTCTTTTATATAAATATAAACTTAACATATATTAAAAGCACTTTTAGTCTATAAAATTATACTAGGAATCCTCTTTATATGTTTTCAGGATAGTTACTGAGTTTGAAGGCATAAAACAAAAGATAGTTGCATAATTTAATCACAGACATGCTGTTATATGATTTCTTTCTTGATGGTTCCAGGAAATTCTAGAATGACGTTATGCATTTGTATCTGAACAGAATTATATAGAATTTCTAGCTCATGTTTGTTTTCCTATTGTAAGTGGGAATTTCTATTTCAGGATATTCAGTAAATGTTAATAAAATTCACCTCTGTACTAACCCTCTTTTAAACGATGTTAATTACTAGGGCATTGGGGTTGCTTTTTTGCTTCTGTTTTATCTTGGGCAGTTGTTTGAGGAACATTCAGATATCAGGGTCAGCATAGTGAAAATCTTGAAAACATTTTGTGAGAAGGTATATCTTAGGGCATGATGGAAATGAAATGTTGGACTGTATATAATTTTAGAATTTAGAATATGATAAGAAAGAAAAGTAAAATTTTACTTGTATAGAGTTCTCCTGAGTGGTCTCACAATCTGCAGTAAGACCAATTCAGGGAGCAAAAGAGAAAAGGTTCCTCCAGGAGCAAAATAGATCTACTTTCTCTTTAGGTCCTTAACCTTATAGGAGAGGCCTCTGCATTCTTTTAGCCCTTTAAGACTTTACTTGATGTGTCACCATCACATTATTTTACATAATAGTTCTAACACATGTTAGGCTTTCCAGCCCACAGATAATTAAAAAGAAGAGGAATTACTGAAATTAAAATGACACTAGGAAGAACAATGACTTCTTAGTAGAGAAGTGAGTTTTGAAATGAATTTAGAAAATAATGGGGGACGATGTTTAACTAGATATATCTTTAAGACCTAAAATATTGATTTTTGTCTCTTCAGTTTACTGTTGAATAAAAATTCAGCTCATTCCCCAACAAACCAAAAGTTAATAGAATGCTATTGGAAGCAAGTGCAACATATCGTCTACCACCACCACTTTGATAAAAGCAAGGAACAATTATGTAAAATCTTGCTAAGGACCTTTCCATTTATTCTGTACTATCTACCTGCTGCCAGGCCACAGTCCTGGCTAGTCAAAGAGATTTAATATTTTATTTTTATGTTTTTATTTTCTTATTTTTAGGTGACTGTAGAAACCCACCATTTTTCGAGTCTATGACGTTAAAGGGCACCCCTAAAGCTTCATATTTACCTGGGGAGAGAGTATATTATGAGTGTAATAAAGGATACGTTTATTCATATTATTATCCCCTAAGTACCTTTTGTGAGCAAGCTGGCACATGGTATCCTGCTGATGAAGCTTGTTACAGTAAGTAAACAAAACCTTTTTGTTGTATGTATGTGTACTTGCTCTAGGGTTTTGGGTTATTTTTTACACATTTTTTTGGTTCGTTTTCCATTATGGCACTGATGATTTTCTCATGTGAAACTAGGTTTTAGATAGCAACTTTTTTATTTATTTTTTCTTTATTGGTTTTAGAGAGGAAGGAAGGGAGAGGGGGAGAGAGATGGAAACATGGATGAGATGGAAACATGGCCGCCTCCTGCATGCCCCCACTGGGGATGGGGCCCACAACTTGGGCATGTGCCCTGACCAGGAATGGAACTGGCGACCTCCTGGTGAATGGGACCACACTCAACCACTGAGCCACACCTGCCAGGCTAGATAGCAACATTTTTAGGCTTCTACAAATCTCCTGGGAATTTTTCTGAAGGCGGTCACTTGTCTGGGTAAATGTGAATTTTACATTTCCCCTTATAACAGTTAACTCAAGAAAACAATATTGTATGAATTGTAAAGAGATGTATAGAATTTTTATTTTATTTCAGTCTGTTTTGAAATTTGTATAAAAATGAATTTGAAAATTTTCTTTTAGAAAAAAAATGTCCAACTCCAAAAGTCCCAAATGGTGAAGTATATGATCCACAAATAACCTTTGAATTTGATAAAGAAGCTCACTTTTATTGTAATTATGGGTAAGTTGCTCCTTAGAGCAATAAGGTAAATGTTACTGTTTTCATCGTTTTCCTTCTCTTCTTAAGGATTCTCATAAAGTTGATTTTAACTTTTTTTGATTTTTGCTTTCTGTGTGACAAGTTGTACTTGGGCTTTTTATGGAGTCTAAAAACATATGCTTAATAGACAGAAATTTAAGTTGAAGGAAAGCCAAATTACATAACCCTTGCTGTATGTAATAATAAGCTTATTGTAAGCATCACAAGGATAGTAATCATGGTGACTTTATCCTTGACAACAAAGTTCACACTATTTAAAAAACAAACGATTTTCAGTGTTAAAGGAGGGCTCACAGAAATGTTGTGTTGTTTAAGTCCTCTAATCCCTTACATGTTTTCTGTCTGGTTGTTCTGTCCTTTGTTGTGAGCGGGGTATTGAGGTCTCTAACTCTTATTGTAGAAGTGCTGTTACGTAGAAATGTGCATCTCCTTTGGATCTGTTTGCTTCATATATTTTGAAAATCTATCATTAAAGTGTCAAATGTTTATAACTCATATCTGCTTGTTACATGTACCTTTTATTAATAATATTCAAAGTCCTTTGTTTCTTGTAACCTGTTTGAGTTTAAGTCTCTTTTATCTGATATTAGTATAGTCACCCCTGCTCTTTTGGGGACACTGTTTGCATGGAATATCATTTTCCGTCAATTCACCTGATTTTGTCTTTGGATCTCCAGTGAGTATCTTGTAGATAGCACATAGTAAGATCATGTGTTTTTATCCATCCTGCCAACCTCTTTCTTTTGATTAGAGAGTTTGCCATTTAAATGTAAACTAACTAGTGACAAGGTGGGACATCTGCCTTTGTGGTATTTGATGGATGGAATATTTTTGGTTTAAGGTTTTTTGTTTGGTTGGTTGATTGGTTTTTGGATTTTTGTTTTAAGTACTTTTAGTATATCAGCTCACTGTCTTCTGGGTTCCAAAGTTTCTCATGATCTGCTGATTATATTATTGAGGATCCCTTGTATGCAATGATTCATCCTCTCTCCCTAGTTCCAATATTTTCTCTTTGTCTTGGTTTTTGAACATTTGGTTGCAGAAGTCCTTAGGTGTTCATGGGGAATTGCTTCCAGCATCCCCCAACTCCCTATGGATATCAATCCAAGTCCTTTATATAAAAAAGCATAGTATTTGCATATAACCTACAGATATCCTCCTGTGTACTTTAAAGATTACTTTATACTTTAAGATTATTTATAATACCTAATACAATGTAAATGCTATATAAATAGTTGTTACACTGTATTGTTTATGGAATAATGACAAGAAAATATTTGTACACTTTCTTTTCAATAATATTTTCAATTCTTGGTTGGTTAAATCTATAGATGTGAAACCTACAGATTTGGAGAGTCAACTGGATGGCGTCTTAGTGTTGGTTACTTTGAAATCATTTTACCTGGAGGTCATTGAGCTCTTTGATGTTTATATTCATGGCTATTATCAAATTTGGGAAGTTATCAGCCATTATTTATTCATATATTTTGTCCATTTCTGTCTTTCTTCTTTTGGGATTCTTACAGTGTACATGTAGGTCTGCTTGATGGTATTCCACAGGTCCTTTAGGCTCTCTATTCAATTTTCTTTACTCTTTTTTCTTTCTGTTCTTCAGACAGAATAATTTTTATTATCCTAACTTCATGTTCACTGATTCATTCTTCTGCCTACTCAAATCTGCCTTTGATACCTCTAGTGGAATTTTTCATAGCAGTTATGGCACTTTTGAACTCCAAAATTCCTTTTTTGTGTTTGTTTTTTAGGTTTTCTCTCTCTTTATTGATATTTCAATTTTGTTCACACATCATTTTCTTGACTTTCTCCACTTCCTTATTTATTTCTTTTAACATCTTTTTTTTTTTTTTTATCCTCACTCGAGGACATTTTTCCATTTTTTGTTCAGGTAGAGTGGGAGGGAGAGAGAGGAACAGAGAGAGAGAGAGAGAAACATAGACGTGAAAGGAACACATCGAGTGGCTGCCACCTGCACAACCGACCAGGGCCAGGGACAAACTGCAACGGAGGTACGCGCCCTTAGCGGGAACCGAACCCGGGTCTCTCAGGACCACAGGCCGATGCTCTAACTGCTGAGCCAAACTGGCCAGGGCTATTTCTTTTAACATCTTTAAGTTATTTTGTCTAGTAAATCTACCATCATGCTATTATCAGGTACAGTTTTTGTTAATTTTTTTTAATGTACCATACATTCCTCTTTCTTTGTATGATTTGTGATTTTTTTTTTTTTTTTTTTTTTTTAGAAAATTGCACATTTGAATCTAAGGATGTGGTATCTCTAGAAATCAGCTTCTTCACCTTCTTAGACCTTGCTGTTTTTTTGGTATTGTTTTTGTATTTTGGGTTGTTGTAGGGTGTCTCTGTGCTGAGGATCAGCCTGAGATGTAAACTAAAGGTCTTCTCAGTTTGTTTCTGAGCCCTTCTCTGAGCACATGCACTCAATTTCTAATTTTACACACACACACACACACACACACACACACACACACACACACACAGTTGTTTTTGAAGATCCTGGCTCTTAATGTCTGACTCTTGAGACAGGAAAATAAAAATGTGAAGTGGAGAGAAAGGGTGTAGGATCTTTAAGTCCCCTGGATGTCATTTTAGCTGTGGAGGAAAGGGCTAGCTAGAGAAGGAAAAGATACCACAGCAATGGCTGTCCATCTCTTTGTCTACTTCTCTGTGAAAAGAAGCAGTAATCAGAACACAGATCCCTGATATTGTAGGAGAGGGCCTTTTCGCCCACCTGGCTACTGCAAGCTGTTCCAAGAACACATACACAGCTGCCTGCCACATGGTGGATGGTGAGGGATGTGTACCTGCTATTTTCCCAAGAGGTAAAATTTACTGAAATTATGTTTACTTATCTTACTCTGGAAGTTGGAAGCCTTCAGTAGTCTCCAGAGTTCCAAAATAGTTACATCGAGCAGATTCTGCCATTGAAATTGTAGTCTAGTTGAGAAAATAAAGTCCTAGTGCTTCCTACTCTGACATATCTCAGAATTCTCTCTTAAAACACTAAAATATGGAGAAAATGAGTGAGCCTTCATGGAAAAGACAACTGAAACTATGTACAAGCAGTTTCACTGACTATTTTCTTAACATGATCAAGTAAATACATTGCAACATCCATTTAATAGGGAGAGACTGCTAAAGCATTTTGAGGGTTACCAAATATTTAAGACACAGATTTTTCTCACAGAAATTGAAGCCTTATTGAGAACTATAATATAGAGAGAGAAATGTCAAGGCAAAATAGGAAAAGAGAAGTACCAAAAGTTATTCGTGATCAGTGTGAGGAGAATCCAGAAGCAGAAAGTACTGTGAATTTAAATATTGGAGAAGATTTCATCAAGTAGTGTGCCTGAGCTATTCCTAGGAATCTGATCTGATTTAAAGAATACATGCATACCTCGATTTATTGTGCTTTGCTTTATTGCCCTTCGCATATGTTGTGTTTTCTTTTTTTATTAATTTATTTTTGTTACAGATGTTTCTCTTTCTTTCCCCATTGACACCTTCCTCCCATTCCCACCCCCTCCCCTCCCCCCCAGCATTGTTGTCTATGTCCATTGATTATGCTTACATCTCATCAACATCCAGGCATAAGCCTCCACCAGCAAAAAGGTTACAGCTCAGCTGAAGGCTCAAGTGATGATTAGCATTTTTTAGCAATACAGCATTTTTTAGATTAGGTATATACATTGTTTCTTTAGAGATAATGCTATTGACACTTAATAGATTATAGTATAATATAAATATAACTTTAAGTGCACTGGTCAACCAAAAAAATTGTATAATTCAATTTCTTGTAATATTCACTTTATTTTGGTGGTCTGGAACCAAACCTCTGATATTTCTGAGGTCTGCCAGTATTAATAAGAGCTAAATAAAACTTACCTAGCACTCACTATGTACCAGATACTAACTCATCTAATACTGAAAACAACCCCATAAGATATATACTATTATCTCCTTTTCATAGATGAAGAAAGTGAAAAAGAGAAACATTGAGGGACTTACCCAAACTCACGTTCAAGTCAGTAGTGGAGCTGGGACTTGAATCCAGTCAGACAAGCTCTAGGTCCTGATCTCTGTACTCAGTTGTATGACTGAGCAGAATGGAAGGAGCAAAGATATAGAAATCGATGTGTATCTGATTGCCAGAGATAGCAAAAAGGCCAGACTGACAGGCATGACAGATTTATTTAGATATCTTTGCTCTTGGCCGATATGTGTTCAGATGTGGAAACTGTTTAATTAAATTCCAGATTTGGTTGGCATGTTGATTATATTGTGCCATTTAAGAAAATTCCCCCTCAAATTACTGTAGTGCAGAAGACAACTATATGAAATTTTCCTCTTTATTATGTACATCTTGTTAACTGGTAAAGAAAACAGTAACCTTTTTTTTTTTTTTTTTTTTTTTTTTCTCCATTAAGCTATTACTTAAAAGGTGCACAAATTCTAACTTGTCAACTTTCTGGAGACAATGTGTTTTGGAACTATGATATCCCCACATGTGAAAGTAAGTAAATTTTCACTTTAAAATTTAGACCAACAGTTCTGGACATTTTTGGTCTTGAGATCCACTTATGCTGATTTTCTTTAAATCATATGTATAGTTGACATACAATAGTATATTAGTTTCAGATGTACAATATAGTAATTGAACATTTATGTGCCTTACAATGTAATCACTACAATAAGTCTGGTAGCCCTTTGTCACCATATAAGTTTATCACATTGTTATTGAATGTAGTCTCTGTGCTGGACATTACATCCTGGTTACTTACTTATTTTAAATCTGAAAGCCTGTACCTCTTCTCCTTTTTCTTTGCCCATCTTCCCAGCCCCCTTCACTCTGCAACTATCAAATTGTTCTCTGTATCTATGAGTTTATTTCTGTTTCGTTGGGTTTGTTTTCTTATTTTAAGATTCCACGTATAAGTGAAATCATATGGTATGTGTTTCCGCTGTCTGACTTTTTTCACTTAGCATAATACTCTCTAGGTCTGTCAATGTTGTTGCAAATGACAAGATTTCATTCTTCTTTAATATTCCATTGTATATGAATGTATATTTGTACGTTATCTCACATCTTTTTTATCCATTCATTTATTGATGGAAACCTAGGTTTTTCTATACCTTGGCTATTGTATATAATGCTGCAATGAACCAAGGGGTGTGTATATCTTTTTAAATTAGTGTTTTTGTTTCCTTCTGATAAGTACCCACAAGTGGAATTTCTGGGTTTTATGATACTTATATTTTTAATATTTCAAGGAACCTCCCAACTGTTTCCCATAGTGGCTGCACCAATTTACAGCCTCACCAACAGTGCAAGAGGGCTCCCTTTTCTCCATGTTCCTGCCACTGATGTTTACCCTTTATGTTTTTTAATTAACAAAGATTCCAAGGAATTTTGCTTTATGTGGGTTATGTCTATTATTCATTATGTTGGAATGAAAACTAAGACATTTCAAAAAAAATTAATTTATTTTTTAAAACAGTAAACTCAGTACATGTTAAAATATGCAATATATTTTTTATAAAATAATTTTTAGATTTTCAAAACACTTAGTGGGAAAAATATTTTACATTTTTATAAATCTGTTCTAAATCTGGACTAAAGGAGGACACCTAGATTTAGTCTGTTGTGAAATAACACAATCTGTAGCTTCTGGAAAATTTCACTGTACATCAAGATGAAAGTAAAAAACAATATTTTAATATAATTGTGAACCAATGATTTAGTAAGTGGATATATTTATAAATCATAAAGCATTTTAAAACTAGCAGTGAATTTTATCTTTAATCTCAAGCACTTTTTCTCCTTAAATTTTCAGCAACTTCTATAATGACTAGAACAAACTTTAGCATAGCATTATAGATAAATATAGATATTTTATTATATAGGTATTTAATAAAATCTGCTTTCTTCTGAAAGTTCAGTTTTACATAGTTTGACTTGGGGGTAATAACATTTTCTCATATAAACATTATAAATGGATCTTGGATTCACAACTAGATTATAGACATCATATGTTGATGAATTTATTGAAGATAATTCATAGGATTTTACTAAATCTTGTCTTAATCTTTTATCTTTCTTTTTTCCTCTTTTTTTTTTTTTTTTCTGTTTTCAAGAGATTTTGTGTAAATCGCCTGGAAAAATAAGTAATGGAAAACACACAAATAACTGGAGGGATGTATTTGAATTTAATGAATTAGTAACTTATAGTTGTGATCCTTCAAATGGACCAGAAGAGTATTCACTTGTTGGAGAGAGCAAGCTTGTCTGTTCTGGGCCTGGCAAATGGAGTAGTGACCCTCCTCAATGTAAAGGTAATGATATTTCCATTATTTCCTTCTTCATTTGTAAATATGGTGGGAACACTTTGTAAACAAACAGTCATATGTGCTTCTTCCTCATGTAAAACTGACTTCCAATTTAATGTAATATATGTCAAGTTGAATCAAAAATAGTTCTACTGCTTGGCCGATGTGGCTCAGTGGTTGAGCATTGACCCATGCACTTAGAGGTTGCCATTTTGGTTCCCAGTTAGGACACATGCCCAGGTTGCTGGCTCCATCCCACTGTGCAGTAGGCAGCCATCATTGTTGATGTTTCTCTCTCATTGAGGTTTCTATCTCTCTCTCCCTCTCCTTTCTTCTCTCTCTAAAATCAATAAAGTAAAAAAAAATTTTTAATAAAAAATATATAGAACCAAAACTTCTAAACAAAATATCAACAAATCAAATCCTGCTGTATGTAACACTAAGAATGTATCATAGCTAATTAGGATTTATCCCATAAATGCAAAGTTGGTTTAAATTCAAAAATTAATCAGTATAATTTATATTATCAAGAGACTAAAAGAAGAAAACAACATATGATCATCTTATTTTACCCCTAAAAAGCAATCGATAGAACTCATCATTTTTTCATGATAAAAATTCTGAGCAAACTAGGAATAGAAGAAAACCAGATATCTCAACCTGATAGACAGCATTTACAGAAGTCTCACAGCTTACATTATTATTAATGGTAAAAGACTAATTTATTTCCTCCCAAGGTGGGAACAATGGAAATATATTCATTCTCCCACTCTATTCGGCACTGTTTCTACAACAAGCCAACAAAAAAACAGGCATAGCTATACGAAAAGAAGGAATAAAATAGTCTCTTATTTTATGACATTACGTGTAGAAACTTCCAAAGATTTTAGTTTTAGAAAGGTTGCAAAATACAAGATCAACTGAAGTCAATTGTATGTTTATATACTAATAATAAACCACTAGATATTGGCATTTTAAAATTGCCATTTAGAACACCTCCAAAATACAAAATACTTGCATATAAACATATCAATATGTGTGAAAATATTTGAATGCTAAAAACTGCCAAGCACAATAAAGGAAAGTAAGAAAGATTTTAATATATGAAAGGACATTGGTCATCGAATGGAAGACTCGGTATAATAAAGACATAAATTCTCTGGATTTGATCTATAAATTCAGCACAATAGAAATAAAAAGCCCAGCAGAATGTTTTGTAAATTTATAAAACTGATCCTAAATTGTATAGTGAATGACTAAAGAACTAGAATAGTCAAAACAATTTTGAATGTAATTGAAGGATGCACTCTACCTAATATCGAGAGTTATAAAATGTATACTATAAGGCATATAGCTATATAGAGCAATGGAACAGAATACTGAGCCTAGAATTAGACCCTTGCAAATATGTCCAGTTGATTTTTATCTCAGATATACAAACAATTCAGTGGTAAAAATAACGTGTGTTTTTTTTTTCAAAAATAGTACAGGTACAGCCCAGGTCAGTTTCGCTCAGCGATTAGAGTGCCCAGAGACCAGCAGGTTCGAGTCAGGTCAAGGGCACATATCTGGGTTGTGGTTCAGTCCTGGCCCTGGTTGGGGCCTTGTGGGAGGCAGTCAGTCAATGTTTCTCTTTCTCCTTCTTCCTTCCCCTCCCTCCCTGCCACTCTATCTGAAGATGAATGGGAAAATATCCTTGGGTGAGGATTAAAAAAAAATAGTACAGGCACAATTCAACTTCCATGTGGGAAAAAAAAGAAAAAGAAAGAAATGAACCAGAACCTATGTAAGCACCATGTGCAAACATTTACTTAAAATGGGTCATAGACTTACATGTAAAAACCTAAAGCTCTAAGACTCTTTTATAAGAAAACTTAGGAAGTATTTGTGACATAGCCAGAGATTTCATAAACACAATCCATAAAGCATTATCCTTTAAATTTTTTTTAATAAATTGCATGTTCCAAATTCAAAACCTCTGGTCTGCAAAAGACTACTAAGAGAATAAAAATAAAGCAATAAATAGGAAGAAAATATTTGCAAAGCATACATCTGATAATTAACTTTTATCTACAATATATAAAGAACTCTCAAAGCTCAGCAACAAGAGAAAATACAAATTTTTTAAATAGGCAAGAGATTTGAATATACCTGTTTTACCAAATATGATATACAAATGGCAAAAAAAGAAGTAAATGAAAATTTGCTCATTATCATTAGTAATTACAAAAGTGTAATTAAAAACAACAAAGAGATGCTACTAAATACCTTTTTAAATGTCTGACTTAAAAACAAGTTTAAGTATTAACTTTCAACTTTATATGACAAGGATAGGAAGCAACTGAAACTATTAGACATTACTAGTAAGAATGTAAAGTGGTACGACCACTTTGGAATCCAATTTTACAATTTCTTACAAAGTGTTAGTACTCTTACCATACCACTTGGCCATCCACGTGAAATGAAAACATGTTCACATAAAAGCCTGTATGAGAATATTCATAGCCACCTTAGTTGTAATCATCCCACACTGAAAACTACCCAAACATTCTTCAACTGATAAATGGATGAACAACAGTGGTACATCCATACAGTGGTATAAATAACAGCAATAAAAAGAAACAAGCTCCTTATTCATGCAGCCACAAGAATGAAACTCAGATGTATTTCGCTTAGTGAAATAAGCCATACTCAAAAGGATATGATCCCATTCACGATATTCTGGGAAAGTAACACAATGGAGATTCAAACAGAGCAGTGGTTGGCTGATTGGTGCAGTGACTAAGGTTGATCACACCGTGGCATGAGGAAGTATTGGGACATAATGCAACTTTTATATGTCTTTATTATGGATGTAATTACATGATTTTTTGCATTTGTCAAAACAAATACAACTGTGCAATTAAAAGGGTGAATTTTACTGGATATAAATTATATCCTGTAAGCCTAGTTTGAAAGCAATGATTAGGTGGAATTTACATCAGATTGGCACAAAAATGAAAAGATTGGTGAACCTGAAGTCGTGACAATGCAAATCTAACATGATTTGAAAAGAAAGATTTTAAAGAGGAAAACTTACAAAATTGTGGAAGAGTAGCAAGCAGTTAAACATGCATGTAATTGGAATTTCAGAAAGAAAGGAGAGAGAAAAAAGTAGAAAATTATTCGAATAAATACAGGTCAAAAATATTGAAATGCTACCTAAAACACCATCACCACTAGTCCAGGAAATTTCATATACGTAGCAGGATAAATATATTTTTAAAACCCGCTAAATAAACACACACATCGTGGCAAAACTCTTGAAAACAAAATATAAAAGAAAAGTAGCCAGTAAGACAGAAAAGAAATATTTCGTTTGCCCCACCCCTCTAAGTAAGAATGACAGCTGATTTCTCTTAAGGAGCCTTGGCAGCAAGAGGACAATATTTGCTAATGTGCTGAAAGGAAAATAAAACACTTAACCTAGAAATCTCTGTCAAGGAGAAATCTTCAAAACAAGTGAAATAAAAACATTTTCAGAAAAAGAATCTAAGAGAACTGTCATTTTGTCTGGCACTATGTTAAAGCAACTTTCTATTAATTCTGGAATTTCTCTACTTCTCAGTGGTCCAATGTGAACCACCAGTACTCAAGCACGGAAAAGCAATATCAGAAATGAAAGACAAATTTTCGTACAAAGATGAGGTTAAATTTGAATGCCTGAAGGGATTCTACCTTAATGGCAGCAACCCAGTGTACTGTGGTGGAAACAATACTTGGGAGCCTGAGATGCCAACATGTATTAAAGGTACATATTGGATCATTTTCTTTCTTGTTTTTTAAGGTTTTCTTTGACATTAAATATCAATGATACAGAATAATTGAAAACAGCAGTTTTAGTAATTAACTATTTTGTATTTATATCCATAACAGATGTATGACATAAAGTTCACATAGAATTTTGCTCTTGTATGTGTTCACAAGGTTTTAAGCATGTTATGTACATGTTATGGGTATATAAATTTCTCTTGTTCAGTATTTTTATGTATGAAAATGGTTAGCAGCCATTTTTTTTCAGGATAAATTGTATCATGGGAATTTTTACCTAAATAAGTAAAGAATTAAAGTGATCATTTATATAAATGAAAAAAAATGGTAATTTCCAAGTGATTGATCCTATATTATGTTTTTCAATGTCAAAACTTCTTATTTTGAGTCATTCAAATTTAGTAACATCCTACTTATATTTTATAAAATCTTATAAATTAATGTTATTTCTACTCATTCATCACTTTTGGTAAGAAAAAGAGTAGCTGTTTTAGAATAGCCATTTTAGCTATTATTCTTAGTGATTCCAAAATTATTTGCCGTAGTCCATAGATATAAACAGGTATATAAACTTGGACAAGTTACTTACACTTCAAATGTATTTACTTACATATAAAATGACTTAATACCTTTCTCACTGGTGATAATGAAGTTTAAATTGGTTGCATTTAAACTACCTAGCACCATGCCTGGCATATAGTAACCTCTCAAAGGAAGCTCATATATGACTTATAGCATCACTCCAGTTGATATTAGTGAAGAAGAAGGTCTGTGGTGTTTATTTTCTAATATGTATGTTTTTAGTGTCAACAACTTTGGTATTTTCATCCATTTTAAAAGTGACCTGCTGACACAGTTGATGGTATCTTCCTGGTCCAGGACTGTTTCATTTCCCACACTGCACGTTTTGTTCTTTCTGTGCAGTACCATTTCCCTGGGGAATTTCTGCTGTCTCTAGAACAAGACTAGCATTTCTAGTGCCCCCACCCCAACCCTCTCCACTTCATACAGTTCTTCTTCTCTTTACTGGGCATTTCTCTTCGGCAACAGAAACTAAATTTCATCCCAACTTAAAGGCAGGAAAAAGTGTTTTTATAGAAATGAAATGGAGGACTTTTTGCATGGACCACTCATCAACTGCTCTGCTTAACATTTGAGAGATGATTTTGATATGGTGGAAGGAATTGTTTTCCTGTGCTGCTGTCTCTGGCTTCTCTTTGTTTTCAACAGAAATAAGAGAGAAGAATAATAGTGGGAAGAGCATTAGCCTGGGCTCATCTCACTCAGGGCCCTGTTTTGGTTCTGCTTATTCACGGAACATCATTTCTGAGGGCTGTAAGTTCCTGTTGTTTAATGAGGGTGTTGAACTCAAATCTCAATCATTGGCTTCTAATTTGTGTATATATTTTCTGCTGTCCTAATACTTCAAGGAATTGAGGAAAGTTATGCATGTAACATGGTAATTAGAACACCTTTTTATAATTCCTGTATACTGGGTACCTGGTAGGTTAGTTGACTGCTGTGAGGTTGGGGGCATGGGGTGAAAAGAGATGTTTATTTGGTGGATTGATATATAAGATTGCATGTGAAGTTTATACTCATTGGCCCAGCCATGGTCCTAGTGGGTATATGCACTGCGGGGTACTGTGTTTATTGAGATGCTCTTTTGAAAGAGTGGACCATGAGGATTCATAAAGGATTTAAAGAACACTGGTACAGTTTAAAGTTTGAAGGAAGAGAGAATTGATTGTGAGAAAAAGTGTATAAAGAGGAAAAATGGCCCTGGCCGGTTTGGCTCAGCGGTTGGAGCATCGGCCTGCGGTACAGAGAGACCTGGGTTCGGTTCCCGCTAAGGGCATGTACCTCGGTTGCAGTTTGTCCCCAGCCCTGGTTGGTCGTGCGGGTGGCAGCCACTCGATGTGTCCCTTCACATCGATGTTTCTCTCTCTCTCTCTTCCTCTCTTTCCCTCCCACTCTATCTGAACAAAAAAAAAAAAAAAAATGGAAAAATGTCCTCGGGTGAGGATAAAAAAAAGAGGAAAAATGACAAGGATATTTTTAAAAATCAAAACTTCTCATTGTATTATTAATCATTTTTTATCATTAGTTAGAGAAGAACTGTACGAAAAAGACCAATAGCAACATTCAATGGTGATAAAGTAGATCTGATTGTGCTATGAAATAAAAAAACTGTTCATGAAATACTAAGCAGAAAAGAATAGAAAACAAATTATTTGGTATGAACAAATTATTAGGTATATTTTAAATACATATATTTACTCTGAACACATTATCTTTTATGATTTATTTAGTTAACTTCTGCAGTTTCCAGTATAAAATTATAGTGATTCTCCTTTGTGTGTGTGTGTGTGTGTGTGTGTGTGTGTGTGTGTATATATTTATGCACCTGTGTAAATATATATTTAGGTCCTATACCCAGAAGTAGAAATGCAAAGTTTGGGAAGTATGCATATTTTTAATTTTGAGGAATAATTAATCTTTCTAAAAAATTAAATTTGTAATTTTTATTGATAAGACTGTTGAATGGAGTCAAATTTATTTTTCCAGGTGTCAAGCCTACTCGTGCAACCAAGCCTCCACTTGCAAATTATCCAGGTTCAGTAGCTCTTCATCCTCCTTCCATTGTTGAGAACTTCGTAAGCTTATGGGTGAAATGTCAGGTCTTGTTTTAATTTCCATTTCATTAATTATTAATGAGGGTGAACCTTTTTGTCTATATATATTTATTTATGGCTTTTGCTCAGTTTTCTGTTAGGTTTCTAAAATGTTGTGTTGATTGTGAGAGCTCATTACAAATAAAGACCTTTTAATATATTGTGAACATTTTTCCAGGTTTATTTTTTTACCTTAATTTTACTAGTTCATTCTCTTTTAAGATTTTTATATTATGCTATTGGCTATAGAGTCCTTTTTATAATTTTTGTTACATGAGAAGTTACAAGTGTATTTTTGTAAATGTTCAAATATTACAAAAGTATACAGAGTAAAAAATTAGTTCTTAATCTCTTTCTCTGGTCCTCTGAGTTAATCACTATTAATAATTTAGGTGTCTTAAAAAATAATATTAATTTAGGTGTCTTTTTATCCATTTCTGATGTATAAGGATACATATCCTTATATGTGTAGTTATATATATTTTGGCTTTTTTATTTTTCTTAATCATAAATAGAATCATAGTGTTCATATTTTTCTAAAACTCTCACATTTTACAATTACTGTCTTAGACTGGGATTGTATTTATATTTATTCCCATACTTTTTAATGACAACTTCAATATATACCATATTTTACTTAACTATTCTATCAATGGTCTTATATGTGCAGAAGTTTTACATTAATAATGTAGTTGAATAAGTCAATCTTTTCCCTAATGGCTATGAGTGTTGTGTCTTTATTATAAAAGCTTTAAGTCTTCAAATTATATACATTTCAAACATGTGTTCTGATTGCATTCTTCGCATTTAAATCATTGGTAAATCTCAAATTCTTTATGGAATATGGAATCATATTGGGTTCTTCTCCACTCGACCCAACCCCATTCAGTGGCTAAGTAGCACCATCTATGAAATAAATTGTCTTCTCTCCAACTGTTTCATTGTGCATTAATTTCATAGGTGTTCCCTTAACTCTATCTGATCCTGTGCCAGCATCACATTGTTTTTTTAATGTAGTACTATAATATGTTTTAATATCTGACAGAATACTTCCTGTTCAGAAGTGTGCAGGCTATTCTCGTGTTGATTTTTTCAGATCAACTTTTATTTAATTTTTTTACCATTTCCACCATTCTAATTGTACAATTTTGTGGCATTAAAAACATTCACATTGTTGTACAACCATCACTACTATCTTTCTCCAAAATTTTCATCTTCCCAAACTGAAACTTTATACCCATTATACAGTAACTTGCTGTTCATAACCCTCCTCCCTGCCCCAGTAACCTCTATTCTAAGTTCTCTCTCTATCAATTTGACATGCTAGGTCCCTCATAAAAGTAGAATTTTACATTTGTGTTTTCTGTATGGCTTATTTCACATAGATACTGTTTTCAAGGTTTATCCATCTGAGAGTAGCATGGATCTGAACTTTCTTTTATGGCTGAAAATATTCCATTGTTTATATTTACCATATTTTGTTTATCTGTCCATCTGTTAATAGACACTTGGATTGTTTTCACCTTTTGGCTATTCTGAATATTCTTTTCTAAATATTGGCATTCAAGTATCTGTTTGAGTCCCTGTTTTTAATTTTGAAGGTATTTGCCAAGGAGTAGAATTGCTGGGTTTTATGGTAATTCTGTGTTTGACTTTATGGAACAACTGTACTGTCTTCCACAACAGCTGCACCATTTTACATTCCCGCCAGCAATGCACAAAGTTCTACTTTCTCTACCATTCTGCCAACGCATGTTATATTCTGTGCTTGTTTTCTTTTTATAATGGCCATCCTAATACCTGGTAGGTAAAATATGTGAAGTAGTATCTCATTGTGCTTTTTATATGCATTTCCACCTTGATTAGTGATGTGCAGAGCATCTTTTCCTGCGCTTATTTGCTATTTGTGTATCTTCTCTGAAGAAATGTCATTCAAGTCCTTTGCTCATTTTTTATTTGGTTTGGGATTTTTGTTATTGATATTTAAGAGTTCATTATGTATTTTGGATGTTAATTCCTTATCAAGTGTATAATTTGCAGATGTTCCCTTGCATTCTGTGGGTTGCCTTTTCACTCTCTTGATCGTGATCTTCGATGCACAAAAGTCTTTCATTTTAACGAAGTCTAATTTATCTATTTTTCCTCTGTTGCCTGTGCTTTTGGTGTCACGCCCAAGAAATCACTGCCACATTCAACATCATGAAGCTTATCTTCTGTTTTCTTCTAAGCATTTAATAATTTTAGCTCTTATACTTAGTTTTTCATCTCTTTTGAGTTAATTTTTTTATGTGGTGTAAGGTAAGGGTCAAACTTCATTCTTTGCTTGTGGATTTCCAGTTTTTCAAGAGCTATTTGTTGAAAAGACTACCCTTTCCCTACAGAATGGTCTTAGAAACACACATGGACAGTCATTTGACCATATGTGCTAGGCTCTTTATTCTATTCCATCAGTCTGGATTTCTTTATGTCCATGCCATTCTGTTTTTATTATTGTAGCTTCGTAATCAGTTTTGAAGTAAGGAAGCCTGAGTCCTCTCAACTTTACTCTTCTTTTTCACAATTGTCTTGACTGTTCCGAGTGCCTTAAGGTTCCATGTAAATTTTAGGATGGAATTTTAATTACTGCCAAAGCACCCTCAGGATTTTGATAGAGTTGCATTTCATCAGTAGGTATGTTTTTGTAGTAGTTACATCTTAACAATATTAGATCTTTTAATCCGTGAACCAGGATGTCTTTTTATTTATTTATGTCTCTTTTCTTTTTTCACAATATTTTGTTTTACTGTTGTATGAATTTTTTACCTCCTTGGTTATTCCAAAGTATTTTATTCTTTTGATATTATAAATGAAATTGTTTTCTTAATTTCTCATTTGGATTGTTTTTCTGATGTATATAAATGCAAGTAGCCTACACATTTACCAAATTCATTTATTAGTTCTATCGTGTGTGTGTGTGTGTGTGTGAATTTTTGTATGTGGTTTAATTTTTAGAGTTTTCTACATAAAAGATTTGTCATCTGTGAAAAGAAAGTTTTCTCATGCAAATTTTGATGCTTTTTATTTTATTTTTTACCTAATTAATCTACCCAAATCTCCAATATTATGTTGACTAAAAGTGCCAAATATGGGCATTTAATCTTATACCAGATCTTAAGAGGAGAACTTTAAACTTCCAGTATTTTACCATATACTATGAATTGAGCTATGTTTTCTTTTTTAATAAATGGATTTTATTATATTAAAGAGCTTTTCCATTCCAGATCAACTTCTAAATAATTTTTAATCCCTCCACTTTTTAAAGTTTTAGGTAGAATCATATTGAATTGAAGGCTAATTTTGAGAATACATTAATGATAAATTTGCTTGCTGTACCACACAGTATTTTGACAGGAAATGTCAGTGCTCAGGAAGAACAATGCTGTTGATATTCAGTATAACTTTTGAATATTTTATGTTTCTGTCTTTAATGAAAAACACTGACAGTTTATAAGGAAATGAAATTATAAGCAATTTTATGCAAATGAAAAATATCAAAATCGATAGGGTTATAAATCTTTAAGTTTAATATAGTCTTTTCTTCTTTATTTTACTTATTTCAATTTTTCTTCTAGGATATCCCAACCCTCGTGAATTACCATCAATTGAACAGATTGTGGAATTAGGTATTAGTTTAGTTATTAATAATTCTTTATTATGAAATTTAGAGTTCTACATGAATATATTATGTTCCAATTATTTGTAGTTACAGAAAAAAATGAGATGTCACAAATTATTTGTATTAATTGACATTTATAGTTATTTTAGTACTGCAGATACCATAACAAATGTGATAGCATGTGTAGACACATGGAAGTAATTTTCTCTAATCTTGTGAATTCTAACTGTCCTATTAACCTTTATGAAGTAACCTGGTGTGATAACTACTGTACAAAACAATCACAAGTGAGGTTCCTATTAAGAGTTTCACAAGGCACATCCTATAGCCGAATCCATTTGAAGTGTTCTGTGATCAAAATGACTTGGAAGTACTAGCAGTTATGCTAAAACTAGATTGATTTTTTTTTTTTTGCTGTAGTTTTGAGATGATTTGATCAAAAGTAAAATGCAACTGCTATCTAGGACCCATACATGCTCCATATCTTTAAAACCACTTTTCATTTTTTTCTCAGATCCAGGAATCATTGCTCTAATTATTCTTACTATACGTAAGTATCTCAAACTTGAATACCATCTAAATCAAAATATTACTGTGAAGAAGTGTATTTTTTTCTAATGATTTTTTAGTTTCTATTGTTTTATACTTGAAAGTAAGCCAGTGTAGAAAAAAAAAACCTGACATTTCATATAATATACAGCTTATGTTGGTGATTATATATTCACTTATATTCTATATGTCTACTTAGTAACAAACCCTAAATAATAATTTTCTTTTCAAGATGATTAGTCATATGACTTGTCTTCCAAAATATGCTTTGGGTAATTTTCTAAACTAAATAAGGACTCCTGTCTGATTTACTGTGGACTATTTAAGTGATTCCAGGGAATTGCATTTCGACAAGGAAGAGTCCAGATTGAATATAAATGTATATGTGCTTAAATAAAATGCATTTCTGACCACTGAAATGTAACCAACAGTAGTTTCTTCTGGATTGTGAATCTTGGAAATTATTTTTCAGAGTTACCTGTCATTTGTTTTCTGGTTTCTTCTAGTTGTTGGCATTGCAGTAATTTGCACCTGTGTGTACAAATGTCTTCGCAGAGGGAAGAAAGGGTAAATTAAACATGTTTCTTCTCATTTATTGGTCCTTCTCACTCATGATACACTTTTTGTGTCACTTTCATTTTGTAGTCTGTATTGTATGAGGTCTATTTCTAAAATGTACTACATAGTGTGCCATCCAAATTACATTTCTTTACTAAAATTATTTTCAGCTGCTTTTAATATCATTGCAATAAGAGGAATCTGTGCAGAGTTGCTTTTGCTAGTATAACTTAGAAAAGTGTTTATGAAGTTTTAGGTTTTAAGTTCCGCAGCAAATCATGGACCATGATTAGTCCTTCCCAAGTCTAGGTATGCCCTATTTTCTAAAGTGAGCTAGTGCTCAGGATTAAATGTAAAATAGTTCACTGTGGAGACATTAAGATAGTCACTGGAATTTTTAGGATGAAAGCTTCCATTTGTCTGTATAACTTAGGAAGTTGTTAGAAGCTATGTAGGTGTGTTATTTAAATGTTATTTCGCTTATGGTTTTTATTTATACAAGTTACACTGGGGAATTAGAAGCAACACTATTTGATTTCCCTCTTATGTTCTCTTAATTTACTAGTCTGTGGTAAACTGATGGAGTTCAAATTACGGAGAGGGGTAATATTTACAAGGCACCTCATTAACTTTATTTGCCATTTTATTTATGAAAATTCAAAAGCATGGGCTTAGAATGGGAAAATGTACAAATACATATCTTCTAAGAACAATTGGATTTATTTTAATGAAATAATTAACAATTTAATTAAAGACTTAGAGTAAATCCCAGAGTATAAACCAAGATTTTGCTTTCAAATTTGTGATCTTTGTAACTTTTTTGTAACTTTAAAATGTCTTTAAAATATGAAATAATAATTTTAAAAATTTTTATATTTATGGTTTTATGATTTTTACTTAAAATTAAAAAACCAAAATGAGAGCCAACAATCTTTTATTTGGGATGAAGGAATTACAGTTCGCACAGCACAAATTTAGACAGAAACCCATGTAGTTTCTTAATTATAAGATGAAAGTGAGGGGGTTTTATGAGAAAAGAAGAAGAAAGAATTCCTATGGGACCTGAAAAGCTGAGGTACTATTAAGCAAGCATGATTGGTTACTGATTCTATCTTCAAATAGAAAGTCCATAATGATCAGCTATTGTGGTCAGGATCTGAAATCCTGCTGGCTTTACAAACATTTGTTTATAAGACAGTGTTGCTTTGTCTTAAGTCCAAAAGTTGTTCTTCCCAGTTCAAACATTCCAGAGGTCAAGGAGCACGTCAGGCAAGGCCGGTCCTCTAGAACAGCTGCTCGGGCTCCACTTTAAAATGGCTCCACTATGTCAGCTTTTATGCTGATATCCCTTCTTTTTATATTAGTCATCTGGTTTTGACTGTGTAATAAAAGTACATTTTTTACTCATAAAGATTTCATAAATTATTTTCTATTGTTGGCTATCTTTTTAAAATACCCAGAATGCTTTCATTTGTATCCTAAATCTTAACTTTAGGGAAACATCATTTGCATATTTATATTTCAATCAGTAGTATATTTTAAATTACACATACACAACAGTGTGAATAGGAAATACTACCAGTTGGATGTTTTCACAAGTCCAAAAGGTTTGTGTAGTGTGGACAAAAATAGGTTCTGTGGAACCTCACCCGGTGATCTATTCCTAACTGGGCAGGTCATGGTAAGTAGTCACACCCACACATAACATTTTTAGTAAAAGTTTTATCTTTGCCTTAAGCAAGCCCTGTTCACTGTTTTAGGGCATCCAGGTTAACACCTTTGAAATAACCATCCTCAAGAGAGCACATAGTCTTGTTAACTTATCCTATAACTGATCTCCACCTTGCTTTTTCCTGTCGTCATGTAATCGTCCTTACATTCCCTCAACTTCAAATGCATAAAGGTAAATGCAAATCTATCATTCTCTGAAGTATGTGAGATGCTGCTTCCAGGCCATTGTCGTCAGTTTGGCTGAAATAAACTTAGAACATTTTTCTACATGTGTGGACGTTTCTTGTGTCAAAAGTAGAAATAAGTTCTCAAGAAGGCAAAAGAGAATTGCTTTCTGCTACGCACACTCCTTCTTTGTTTAAAATGTCACTGTACCAAAATATTGAACAGTTCCTTAGTATGATAAAACTCTCTCTAGCTGTGGGTTAATGGGTCTTGTAAGCTGAACATCCCGTTCAAGATGGTGACATAGGAGAATCCTGAACTAACCTCCTCTCACAGCACACCAGATTGATCTACAGCTACACACAGAACAGATCCTTCTGAACGAGATCCAAAACCTAGCTGACCAACTTCTACACATGAGATGGAGAAAAACCTGCTTGAAATGGGTAGGAGTCCTGAGACACAGTCTCTTCATACATCTCACCCACGGCATGGCAACCCACAATCAGGTGGGAATTCTCCCTGAGCAGTAGAGTATTTGAGCTTCACATCTGGTACCCCATCTTTTATGTTCCACACCTGACAGATGGGTCCCCCAAACATTTTGTTTTGAAAGCACTGGGGCTTTTTTCCATGAGTTGCACAAGGCTATAGTCAACTGAGATACAGTTCTTAAAGGGCTCAGCCCACTGGCTGTGGTTAATCTCCCAGGGCACAGTGCAGAAGCAGCCAACTGAAACACACAAGCCTTTCTGTGAAAGAGATTATTTTAAAAGCTTCAACCTGACTTCAAGTCAAGATGGTAGAATAGGTAAACTATGTGTTCACCTTTTGCCGTGATTATGCCAAAATTACAATTAAATTATAGAACAATCATCCTTGAGAATCTCCTGAAAACTAAGTGAACAGAATTCCTGTAAAGGGTATAACCACCCTCAGAAAAGTACTTAGTGCTGGCCAGTGTGGCTCAGTTTGTTAGTCATTGCCCTGTACACCAAAATGTGGCCAGTTTGATTCCTGGGCAGGACACATGACCACACTGCAGGCTCAATCCTAGGTAGGGGACATGCAGGAGGCAGCCAATCAATGTTTCTCCCTGACATCAATGTTTTTTCTCTTTCTCCTTTCCTTCCTCTCTCTCTAAAAACAAAGAGAGTGTACACAAGGGATATAAAGAAGCAGCCACATCAAGACTGGTAGAAAGGACAGATTCTGAACTGGGAGATCCCACACACACAGTGTGGCTGTTGACAATCGAGAGGGATATTTTAGACCCAGAGGTTTGCCCTAAGGATCAAGGAGTCTCAGCCCCACACTAGGTGCTTCAGTCTGGGGCTCTAGTACCAGGAAAAGGAGTCCCCATAACATAGGGTTGTGGAACATGGTGGGGATTATGATGTCCGATTGAGGCAGAGAGATGTGGGAGGCCTAGGCAGTGCAGGTCTTAAAGGGACCGTAAACAGATGTGCTTGCTCTCATATTCACTGGCTCAGGATCCCAGTACAGTAGCATCAGCTCAAAAGTACCAGGAAAAAATGAGAAGAAACTAAACTGACTACCTTTAGGGTAAGGATAGGAGAGGAAGGGGTCAGGGAAGCACTTTCTGGGGACAAAAGTGTTGGCAAATGCCATTGTTCTTTTGTTGAACTCTCCTCAACAGCCAGCCAGTTGCAGGCAGGCACCAAATCTGAGCTCTCCATTAACCTAGGTAACACTGTTCACCACACCCTGGTGAATCCCTAAGGCCTTGTACCACCCAACACACACTAGGCCAAGCCTCTCCCAGTAGCTAGCTGCTCCATACAAGTGGTCTACCTTGGCTTGTGGTGTAGACTTTCCTATAATCGCTCAAAGGTCCACAAACCTCAAACAAGCAGTGATATGCCTCAGTGTGCCTGCCCCTCTTGCCAAGCTGCCCCAAGCCCAAACAGAAGTGGTGACTGATCTCAACTTTACTGTAACCCCTTTGCGGTGTCTGTAAGTCTGGCATGAGTGGTGGCCTTGCATGACTTGGAACGTAGCTGCAATTAAGTGGCCAC